GATTCAATCCTTAACTTGGATAGACAGACAACCACAACTGGGTCCTGTGATGAAACATGGGACAAAGGCGTGCAGCCACATTTCAGGAAGAGGGACGCTTTGTAAGGAGGATCACGGGAGGTATGTGAGCTGGGTATTACAAGTGGAGCGGTTATCCAGGCAGAGGAGATTCTAGGCCAGTGATGGTGAACCTTTTGAGCTCGGCGTGTCAGCATTTTGAAAAACCCTAACTTAACTCTGGTGCCATGTCACATATAGAAATTTTTTGATCTTTGCAACCATAGTAAAACAAAGACTTATATTTTTGATATTTATTTTATAGATTTAAATGCCATTTAACAAAGAAAAATCAACCAAAAAAATGAGTTCGCGTGTCACCTCTGACACATGTGTCATAGGTTCGCCATCACTGTTCTAGGCTGAGGAAACAGCACCTCAAAAGCCCTGAGGTGTGAAGCTATGCAGAGCATTTGGGAACCGGCATATTTGGGGATCAGGGGCGGAAGGGTGCCCGTGTGTCTAAGTGTCTGTAACTCACAGGAAAAAGGGAGCAACAAGGGTGCAGGAGATGAAACTGGACAAGTAGACAGGGTGGAGCTGCAAAGCCCCAGGTCAGTCAGGCCCAGGGAGCTGTGGATGGTGAAGAACCAGTGGGGATGATGGAGCACAGGCCAGGCACAGTCAGACACCACAGCATTCATTAGGCTCCAGCTCTTGTAGGCACAGTGCTGGGCTCCTCCAACCATAGGAGGCTATCCTTGGCTGATGATAAACGAATGTGAGGAGATGTTCTCTCTCTGATTCATGCAGATATCCCTGGAGAAATGGCCAGCTAACAGCAAATGCAAGGGGAGTGGTTCCCACATCCCCACCGTCTCCAGTATCATCCAGCGGCATCACCACTGGTCCCCTCCACCCACCACTGGGAGCAGTGCTTGGGAATCCTCAGCATCTCCTGGGATTCAGGAAGAACTTGAGAAGGAATAATGGAGCCACAGAAAAAGAAAAGGGGGGGGGGTTCCTCAGACTGGACACTGATTTATGATTGTCTGGATGTCCAGCAAGCAGGAAAGAAAAGGCAAGGAGGTGGTGGCAGCCACCTTGCAGTTTCCAAACCCTGCTCCCCACCTCTCTAGTCCTTCTCAGAGCAAGGAGTTTCTCCCTCCATCTTCCTCTTCCCTTCCCCATCTCCCGGTCCTCCTTCCCAGGCCCCCTCCAGAAAGGTTTATGGAAAAGACTTCAGATAGCCCCCCTCTCCTGCAGGCACAGTCACACCAACTGAAAGGAGATTTAATTAGCAAAATCTCGTTAGGCAAACGAAATTATCCGTAAGACAATAGTCCTCTGGACAGGGGGTATGATTAAACAAAGCCATTAATTGAGAGAGTCGCATTGGCAGCTCCCTGGATGCGTCCATCTCCCCGGAAGGCTCCACTTTGCTTCCTTGAGCCAGAGGAACCTTCTCTGCCTCCTCCCACCCACCCCCTCCCCAGTTTGTCTCCCCTTCCAGAGCCCCTTCAAGTCAGCCCTCCGCATCTCATCAGCAGCCTCCCTGCCACCAGATTCCTGCTAAAGTGCCTTGATTGCATAATGTCTATTTGCATAATGTAAATTGCAATCTCCTAGCTCGGGAGGCAGGAATCACAGAACAGCCATTATTTTTTACCACTCCACAAAAATTCTACATTTAGAAAGCAGATTTGCAGCTCAGAAAGACACATAAATCTGAATCTGCCAGCAACGCCATTAAATCACACCAATTAAGCCGGACCAACGAAGAGCCCCTGTCACTGTTCCCTGCACACTTGAGGACCCCAGCCCAGATGGGGGCCCTGGCAAACTGGAGGCCACCTCAGCAGGGCTGGGAGCAGGAGCTGTAAGAGGTAGGAAATGATGTCTTATAAACCTTAACACACACCCCAAGCACAGGCGCCCATTAAGACCTGGTGAGAAAGGGGAGAAGGGGCGGGACTAGTGTGAGTTATTTCTAAGCTTGTTGCCTGATTTCTTAAGGGCACACAATCTGTCTGCAGACTTTTGATTTATGGAGCAGGAGAGAGCATATGAGAGAGAAGCCTGTACCTGTGGCAAAGGTAGAGGGGAGCGCCACGGACTGCATGGAGGAGTGAACCGTCCCTGCCTTTAGCAGCTCTTCGATGGCCTGTTCTCTCTTCTCCCAAGTTCCCTCCAGCCAAGTGAGAGAAAACGGAGGACAAATCCTGCTCAGACTGGGCTGGGCTGGAATCTGAGTTCCTATAAGAGCTGTTTCCTGGGGTCACTGGGGGAGAAGTGAGTCACAGGGCCCTGGAACGGGACATTCCCCAACAACTACTTATGATTCCAGCTTCCCCATGGCACTATACCTGGCTACTCTTGCCTCTTTATTGCTCATTCAATATTCATTCGTCAAAGGGCAAGATGCTAATGTGTATTATTAAAATATCAATAGTTTATGAGTGAACTTTTACGGAGGGTACAGTTAAAGGAAAGGTTCTTGACCATCTATGGCAGGTGAAATGGAGAGGAACAAGCACCCAGCTCCACCTTTTATTTATTCTCTGGGTGGGTGAGTGACTGAACCATGCTGGTAGCTATGGGTGCAGGAGTGGCTCGAGGGCTGTCACATGCTGGATTTCGTTTAGTCCCAGAGTCTCAGGAAGCATGTACAATCCCAGATTGCGAGGAAGCCCAGGCTACAGGGAGAAGCACATGAGCCTGGATGGTGGTCCGGCTAATGTCTCAGGCAAGGGCTAGTATTCAACCCCCAAATTATGAGCCTTTATATCAAGCATGTCAGACTCGCAGCCCACAACGAATATTTTTGCAGCCTAGGCAATATTAATAACGAACTACAACATTCGCTAATGACTGATTACTATAATTGTGTTGCATTCATTTCCCTACGCGCCTTACGCGCAGGCGCACCATTTCTCTCCACTAATACTAGCAGCAAATATTTTAGCAGCCGACTGCCACATCATTAGTCTTGGACTGACTTGTTTGGTGTGCGCAATAGGAACTATTTCACTTTCGGAGAACAAGAAAAATAGGTTTACTTGCATTATGCTTACTAATTTGTGCAGTTATTCAGTGTCTGGTAAGTTTATGTTAAAGAAAAAATATTAATTTTTATTAAAATGTTCTATTATTTTATGTTAACAATTACTCATTTATTTCAGCCCTTTGTATTCATCGTATCTCTATCAAAATAAACCTGTTTCTATGAAAATTTCTAGCACCCAGATTTTTATCTGCCCCAGCTGAAAACCAGACCTGATGGAATAGACACCAGTTGTCCCTACTGGGTCCTATTTGAACTCATGCCTTACGGATTATAAACATTGTTAAGTTGTTAAGTTTGGGGGTGGTTTCTTACACAGCCATACGGACTGGAACACCACTGAGATTAAATTAGAATGTTTGTTGTTTCCCACTCAAATACAGCCTTCACTGGTCGTCTCTCTGAGACACCACAGCTTCCGGCTTTTCCCTCCTCAGCTGGTCCCAGGCCCTCTGAACCTGTCTCTCCTCATCCTCATCCCCCCCCTCCCCCCCGCCTGAAAGATCATTTTAATCTTCCCATGTCTGAGTCCTGGGACCTGAAGAAACCAGTTTTTCCTTGTTCCTCCGTGCAGTCCGGGGGTGAATCCTTGCCGGGGAGGTGTCCCTGTGTGTGAGTGGCCCAGGAGCCCGGTGCCCGCAGGGACAGGCAGAGAACATGAAGGCCAATTTCCCCCCCATACTTGGCTCTCATTAAGGTTCATGCTCAGCTTGCTCCTCGCGTACTTGACTTGACTTATGAGGTCCCTCCAACCTCCGGTGCGAGGAGACATCGATTCTCACAGAGGTCATTATCTTTCTGCTCTGGCTCCCTCACCCCAGCCCTGTCTCCTAGGTAGGCTTTCCTGGAACAGGATGAGGGAGGCGCCCTTCCCCACCCCCTGGACCTGGGGGTCCAACCACTCCAGACCCCGGGCTGGAGAGGAGGTGCCCTGGGAGCCGTGGCCGTCAATCACAGAGGCGACCAGCACTGAATCGCAGACCATTAGGCGAAGGGCCGGCGCCCTGCTCACTCACCGGGCAGCCATCGGCAGGATGTTAGATGATCGCAGGGCGGCCATTCTTATGATTTATTCAAATACTCATTACAGTCAATCTATTTTTACACAGAGGTGAAGATGTGTGCTGATAACGGTTAATCATTTATAATTCCATGGACTGGTTGGAAGCCAATGTACTATCAAAGTCGCAGCAGCAGCGCGGCCCCGGCAGCCCCAGAGCAGGGCGGAGAAACTGGGGAGCCAGGGCAGCCCAGGCCCAGCTCACACCTTCGGCGCAGCACGAGGCTACAGGACACGAAGAGGAGGGAATCCCAGATGAGCCTCAGATCCCCCAGCCTCGGCCAGAGGGTGCTCGGCATGTGACTGCAGCGGAATCGCAGAAAAGGATCCAGCTGGAGCTACCAAAGGAGGCTCCACAGAGGAGGCTGGACTGAGGCCGGGTCCTACAGGTGTGTGAATCTTGCCAAGTGGGAGAACCAATAAGCACAAGTCTAAGGTAGAAGGTTACTGTGTAATGGAAGGGAAATGACAGCGGTATTTCCTTATCCTTCTTCACCCCTCCCTAGAAATAGCCAGATGTAACAACACGGGCCATGACCTCACCCCAGGCCCTCCTATCACTGACCCCCAGGCTTAGTCCATAGATAATAGGGGCCAGGGCCTGGGTCAGTATTGCAAATCCAAGAGGTGCCCTCTCTGACACACATCACACAGCATGTCCATGCCCTGCACCATCAATAGTCTAAGTAAATAGAATGTCGTGTTCTTTGTCACATTCAGACTTAAGCTAACGAGAGGTCCGCCGCAGTTTATGTTCTGACTATCCCATTGTTGATTTCTCGTGCACAATGCATGGCTGTTAAAGATCAGGTTCAAGGCTGGTCTTTAACCCATAACCTTATTGAATCACCACAGAAAACGCTGATCAAATTTACTTACAGTTCACAGTCCCTCTTCTGATGAGTGGCATGGAGGACAGAAAGCCTCAGAGTCCTGCTCCAGACTTCACCTGTCAATGAAAGAAAACATTTTTATAGACCGTGTACCATTCTGCTGGGAGTGAGAGCCAAGAAGAGGATGACAGTACAATCAGAAGTAGGTCTTCCCAGGAGCAAAGCCAGGCTGGCAGCCCTGTGCCCACCCACAGTGCTGAGTGGCTAAGTCTCCTGAACAAGGCACTCCTGGTACAAAACTATGATTGTAGACAGCTAACCAGGACAAAGTGACAGGATCACTCTCTCTTACCTGCTTGTGGCCTCAGTTTCTTTGAGTTCCACACCCTTCCCTGGAGAAATTCCAGAGAAGGAGGCTCATGGCTGTGGAGAGCCCTGAGCTGGCCGAGGCAATCATTATTTACTGACACCTCCTGTCTGATGGGAGACCCCAGGCAGGGGACAGAGCTGAGCAGCCCCCGGAAATCTGTAGTCTATGTGGGGAAAGCTGCAAAAAGCAAGCAAACAAACAACAGAACTAATCCTGTTGCTGATGGCAAGAATAGGGAAGGGTGGTGTAGGAGAGGACTTTCAAGCAAAGGTGTGGAGTCCAGTTGGGCCGCAAGGAAAAGAACACGCGTGGAAAATAATAAGGCAAGTCTGGGAAGATCAAAAACATGACTGCTTTTTATTCTCTTTCTGAGGTAAAGCCACATGAACAAGAACAGGAAGGGCCCAGCACACATCACCAGGTGTCTGCTCTGTGATTTACACTCGCAAGGTGCATCAGGAA